ACAAGATCCCTCTGGATAATACTGGTCATCAAGGTTTTAATCTATTGGAGAAGCAAATGACTCCTTGAATTGGGTCATTACAAGCTTCTAGGCCAGTTGTACCACTCCCTCAATTCAGTGAATTCCTTTTGTTAAGTGGTTAATGCTACAAAATGGTCAAAGACATCTTATGCTAAGGGAGGCAGATGAGAGAATGGATCTTGTTTCTACATTAGGGACATTTTGTACAGGAGTTCCATCCCACTGGGATTCTGGGATCTGGTGGCTTCCAGCATCTCTCTTTAAGGCATTGTGTAGGGGTGTGGTTTCAAACAGAAGAGAATACCTAATTCCAAACTGCATGCTACTTTATACTAATTGGAAAGATTTTCTTTAAACACTAAGTTAATTATTCAATTATATTTCTACTACATAATTTTTAAAGTTCTATATTGGATCTCCATGCTAACAGGATGAAATTGAGTTGTTTTGAATTTAATACTTCTTCCAATCAATTCTGATATATTTTCCAAATTCTTCTAAAGATGCCCTGATCTAGTTACCTTGGTCTCCTCTCTTTCCCATTAAACCTTTGCTATTTCTTCTCTATTCTGAATGGTCTCTCAACTTCTGGTTGATTCTGAGCATCAGAAAAGGATTTTAGGTGCCAGTGCTGTGGCTTAGCAGTTAAAACCAATACCTGTGGCACCAGCATTCCTAATGAGCACTGGTTCCTGTCCTGGCTACTCCACTTCCAATCCAGCTCCCTGCTAATGCACCTGGGAAAGCAGCAGAGGATATACCAAGTCCTTGGGCCCCTGCACCCATGTGGGATACCTGGATGAAGCCCCTGGCTCCTGCGTTCGGCTTAACTCAGCCCTGACTGTTGTAGCCAACTGAATAGAAAACCAGCAGGTGGAAAACTCCTCTCTCTGTCTCTTCCTCTCTCTCTCTCTCTGTAACTCTGCCTTTCAAGTAAACGAGTTAATCTTAAAAGAAAGCGGTGGGTGGGGGGGGATTTTAGTTAACATCTTCATAACCTAAAATTGAGAAAATTTCTAAATCCCCAAACAGATACATACAAGATTATTAAGTGAAAAAACATTCAGATAAGAAAAGTGAGAAAAGAGGGGCCAACATTGTGGCATAACAGATTAAGCTGCCAACTGCAAAGCCAGCATCCCATATGAGCACAGGTTCAAGTCTTGACTAATCTACTTGGCATCCAGCTCCCTGTTAATGCACCTAGGAAAGCAGCAGAGGATGGCACCCAAGTGCTTGGACCATGCCACCCATGTGGGAGACTGGATCTATTTCCCTTTCTCTCTGTCAATATATATGTCAATAAATTATAAAATTTTCCTCGTATAAATTCAGTCTTGCCATTCAGTGAAATTACAAATAATATTTTTGGTAGAGGATCAGTGCAATTTTTTTGGTAGTTTTTTTTTTTTATTTATTTGAGAGTCAGAATTACAGAGAGAGAAAGGAGAGACAGAGAGAGACATCTTCCAGCTGGTTCACTCCTCAGGTGACAGCAACAGCTAGGGCTGGGCCAGGCCAGAGGCAGGAGCCAGGAGCTTCTTCCAGGTCTCCCACATGGGTAGCAGGGGTCCAGGCACTTGGACCATCTTCTGCTGCTTTTCAGATCCTTAGCAGGGAGTTAGATCAGAAGTAGAGCAGCTGGGACACGAACCGGTGCCCACGGGATGCTGGCATAGCAGGTGGCAGATTACCTACTATACAACAACACTGGCCTCATATACAGTTCTTATAAAATTAATTTTCATTTATTTAACCATGTTTGGTGTCAAAAATATATATTCCTCACTTATATTTTCTATGAGATTGTGTATAAAAAGGAAAACTCTTAATTTTTGTATCCCATTTTATTTTTGAGTTTTCCTAGGGTTTGTAAATAAATGTTACAGAACTCTTTTATGAATATATAGAATTGTATATGCAAATAAGGATATTTTTGGTACTTTAAGTATTTTTCATACTTTATAATTTCCATAAAATTATTTTGTCTTCAGTTTATCAACTTAATATAAAATTAGGCTAATTATTTTTTCATAATTCTTTTAGTTTCATTGCTTTAAGAGGTTAGTAAGAAATTCATATTGTAGTTCTGTATATTGGTTTGTTTTTTCTGAATAGGTTAGTTTGTGATTGCTTGGTTTATTGTTGCTTCATTTTATCTTTTTAGAATGCAGTTTTTTTTCACTATTTTATTTTCTAATTTATTTACTTTTGTTTTAGCTATTTTAATCCTTCCTTTCATTTTTCTTTTGATATGTGTTCTTTTTCTAATTTTCTGAGGTGACTACTAATTGAATTATTTCTATTTTCTATTAGTAGTACGTGTGTTAAAATTTTTAACTTTGAGCAAAGATTTTGTGATGTACCTTTAACTGGGCTATCTAGTGTTTTCATTTTCATTTTTTTAGATATTTCTAAATCTTGGCTCATCCAAAATTTGTTGAACAGAGATATTTTTCATTTATTTGTGTTTCTTATTTTCCATGAGGTTTGAAATTTTAGGTTCTTATTTTTATGCTTATTTATATTTCAATTCAATTGTAGTCTATACTAGTTTTACTATTGGAGTTTATTGACTTTATTTTGAGGTTTAATACATGATCACATTTTTCAAATTTTGTTTCCATGATGCTATACTTTTTGGATTCAGAGCATGAACTGTAGTATGTTTATTAGAGTTACCTTATTCCCCTTCCTAATTGTATGATTTTTGCATAAGTATTTTTGTCTACTTCATGTGTCATATTTTTGAATTTCTTTCAAAATTCTTTTGCTTTATGGATGTTGTCGTATGCTACAAAACATTAAGATTCATGATAGAGCTTACTTGTGACCCCTGTTTACCTTCCTGAATATGTTTTGTCTAAATTCAACCTTGTCTTAGTTTATCTTTGTTTGACTGGTGTGTTATTTGCTTGACATTTTTTCAACTCACCATTTGCTCTACTTTACCATCTCCAAACCACAGAAAAAAAATTTCAGTTAAACTACAAATCCAAGAGGCTGTGTACAATACCTTTTTTTTCACCATTGTCTCATCATTTTGCAGTGAATTTATCACCCCATGCTTATAATCAACACTGCTGAAGACTTTGGAGGCACTTTATTCAGATGCAGCTCTGCGTAAAGCACATAGTTGGTTTCATTTAAATTCAGTCTTATGATCTCTGTCTAATAAGCAGTCAGCTTTCTGTTTTTCTATTTATTGACATGATATGTGTGTTTGATCTATATTCGTTCACATCATTTCATGTTACTTTTCCTGTCTTTAATGGCTTCTTTGTTTTCTAGCTTTTACTCAGTGGCTTCAATTTTACAGGGATGTGTTTGGGAGAATTTTCCCTCTATAAGTTAATTTGCAGCCTATATTCATTATTTTAGTGGCTGTTATTTCTGTGACTTTCAATTCTGAACTCTGTTTATTAATTTATTAACATTAAGAACATTAATAATAACCTATTACTTTGGCATTTTCCTCTACCTTCCCAGGCAGCATTAGCAGGAAGCTGGGATGGGAGATCAACTAGGAGTTGAACTAGCACTCTGATATGGGATAATTGTATAGATAGTGGAGCTTAAGCTGCTGCTTCCCAGTGCTGGTTCCAGTGAAAAATATTTCTTATCCCCAGCAAACAGGATTCTACATTCTATAATATGTCAGTACTTTCCAATTAACCTGTGAATTCAATCTTCTTAAAAACAATAAAGATGAAGGGAGATACTCAGATTTTACACTAGAGTCTTCTGTTTTATCTTGAGTATTTACAAAATTAATGAATTAATGAATCACTATTATCACCCCAGATAAAAGAATAAAAATTAAAACAAACCACAGAACCTTGAAGGGCTTTTTACGTGTTCACAAATGTCATAGCTAATAACTAATGTTTACATAGTATTCACCATTTTCAAATTCTAAGTATCTTAAATGAATGAATTTATTTAATGCAGAGGCATTATGAGTTAGTATATGGTAAATCAAAATTTTAACAATTTTATTTTGGAAACTTATTAACTTTTCTTGAAAACTGTATTCTAATTATTTTTATGAGAGAGAAGTGTAGGATATAACACTACATCCAAGATATGCTCACAGACTATAAAAAATTGCACCATTTCAAGTTGTCTTACCTGGGTTTTAGTAGCTTCGTTTTAGAGTTTTGTATGAAATACACCACAGAAACATTTTTAGCTGGTAAAAATGGGAACTTATGGCCAGTAAATGTCCAGAATGAGAGTAAGAGCCATTGGAAAGAGTTATGAGAGGATATCTATGGTGATGAAGGGGAAGAGAATGCGGGTAGGTATGGGAGCCCTTACAATGGAGAAGAGAAGCAAACAAAGCAATATGTTGCTGCTTCAATCTTAGTATTGTAGTCCAACTCTCATAGGTAATTAGAATAAATAATTATTTGATTAGAGATAACTTCTCAAACTTTGTTGAAGAGATTGGTTGAAAATAGCTCCCTATTTCTTCCCAGAAATCACTTTAATCAATGGAAAGAGCCAGGGACTGGTAGTTCATTACAGAACTAACTGATTTTGAATAATGGCTCCATGTCTCAGGACGCACAGAAAAATCATTCTGCATATGCTGCTTCTTTATGTAAAATGTGGCAGATTCACCTGTGGATATGTGGAGTCATCAGAATTTACATACAGAATAGTTTTGTCATATTTGAATGAATAAAACCTAATTCATTTTCTGCATAGAACCCAATTGTAATGATAATATTTAGCTATCAGTATATAGTTTAGTATTAAAGAACAAGAATGATCATTTGAATAAGACCAAACATTTTACATTTTTCATGAGAGAAAAAAATTGATATATGATTATTTAAAACAAATTATTTGAGGTAAAATTTTATCCTTTGTTATAGCATATTAACATGTCAGAGTCCAACCTTAATTTTCTATAATTGGAAATACCTCTTTGTATCCTCTCCTTTTGTCAAAATATTTGCTACGATTCTTAGAAATGGATAAATGACCTTCTTTAAGGGGCTGTTGGAAGATGTTCATGAACTAGTTTCTGTGGTTCCAGTTGAATTTCACAGGTGAGAGACCATTCAAGAATTAAGACAATATTTATACATAAGTTAGAATGTGTATCTTATAGCTCTTTTCTTATGATCTTGATGATATTGCAATAAGTTGACAGATTTGTATTTTGAAATACAGTACTTTCTCTTTGAGTCTTTTCTGATTTGACATTTTGGATAATATAAGTAGGTTCTTTTAGTTCTCTAAAGCAGCTAGATACTACATGTAACAAGCTAAAATTGTGATATAAATACAGGCTGTCATGACCTTACCCATATTAAATGTGTGAATTTGGAATGGACAAACTAGGTATTTGCTAAACTAGCTGTACCTAAACAGTGATGAAAAGGTAATATTTTGTTATTAAGTGATTATCTTTTGCCAACAAGATTTTATTAAGTAGATTAAATATTTTTCTATCTTTAAAAGAAGAATCATATGCATATTTGTATTATTTTGAGCATTCCCTTCATTTTGGATACTTTCATGTATAATTGCTTCTGATAAAATCTCTAAAAAAAGTATGTGCTGAATTTTGATGAAATTCAAATTTTTAATCAGTTAATGTATTTTGCAATGCCTTGCTGACATCAAATATAATATAAAGATCTCTGACTCTCTGTTAAGTTTTTCCGAATATTTAAGAGAAAGTTGAAAACTCCCCTTTTACTTTCAATTTGCAGTTTCAACTTGCACTGTATTCTTCTGGTTCCCAACTTGGTTTTCATTATCTCTCATGTTTCTTTCTGACATTTTTAATGAATAAATATTTTTCCTATTTGATTATTACATATGGTTTTCAGTAATCAAAACCATTCTCTATAAGTACTGGAAGTAAGATTTTCTTGCACAATGAAAAGTACATGGCTACTGAGTTGAAAATAGGAAGGTTTAAGCCCTTTCACTGGCTGCCCCTGACATTGAGTCTAAAGTAGCACTCCTGAACTAACTGTAGCTCCTGTGTCTACTGCCATTTTATCTTTTCTGTCACTATCACTCTACTGCCCTCTATATGATCATACAAGCAAAACCCCAGAAATATCTACAGCAGGGTAAATTGACAACAGGTAACAGCTCTTACTCATTTTGTCATTGAAAATACGATTTATCTTTCATTCATTCAATACAAATATGCATATGATTTATTGATTGCTTCTTACAGTCAACATATACTAAATAGAAAAATGGACTTAAAGTTCAATGGGAAAGAGGAGGCAAACATAACATATAATATAAAACAGAAAGATTATTTTGTTTTAAAAAACTGGCTATAATATTATATGTACTTAACAGAGGGATGCTAATTTAGTTGTGTCATAACAGGAATATACTGAATGATTAATTCTGATAGGAATAGAAAGGGAAGACTCTATGATGGAATACAAATTCTTTTTTTTTGACAAGCAGAGTGGACAGTGAGAGAGAGAGAGACAGAGAGAAAAGTCTTCCTTTGCCGTTGGTTCACCATCCAATGGCTGCCACGGCTGGCGCACCGCGCTGATCCGATGGCACATTCCAGACTTAGGGACAACTATGAAAGACCCCTGATTCTTTCTTTTTTAAACTTTTATTTAGTAAATATAAATTTCCAAAGTACAGTTTATGGATTACAATGGCTTTTTCCCCCCATAACTTCCCTCCCACCTGCACCCCTCCCATCTCCCGCTCCCTCTCCCATTCCATTCACATCAAGATTCATTTTCAATTCCCTTTATATACAGAAGATCGATTTACTATATATTAAGTAAAGATTTCAAAAGTTTGCACCCACACAGAACATAAAGTGTAAAATACTGTTTCAGAACTAGTTATAGCATTAATTCACATTGGACAACACATTAAGGACAGAGATCCCACATGAGGAATAAGTACACAGTGACTCCTGTTGTTGACTTAACAATTTGACACTCTTGTTTATGGTGTCAGTAATCTCCCTAGGCTCTAGTCATGAGTTTCCAAGGCTAGGGAAACCTTTTGAGTTCACCGACTTCGATCTTATTCCGACAGGGTCATAGTCAAAGTGGAAGTTCTCTCCTCCCTTCAGAGAAAGGTACCTCCTTCTTTGATGGCCCCATTCTTTCCACTGGGATCTCACTCGCAGAGATGAAAGACCCCTGATTCTGAGTATACTAGAAAATTTATAAATAGTTGGTCATGATGTTATAAACAAGGAATAGATAACTATGATTGATAAAGATCCTGGAAAAATAGTGTCTATCCAGATGAGGGATTGTCTTGAGTGAGGTATACAGAAGTTTAGGACCAAAAGAAAAACACCTGTCAATCCTAAGGAAAAAATTGACAGCAGTGTTCCATGCAGGTTGCTACTGAAGTCAGTATAGTTGTGGGCATAACTACAGGAAAGGAATATGTCGTCAGGCTTGATGTCTTTATTGTAAAACTATATAATGTGGAAGTTTTCAGTCCAAAAGATTGCTGTTGATACATATCCCATTCTCACACACATGTACTGACTTTAATGGTCTTTGTCTCTGTGCTTTTTTTCAGTGCTACAGGAGTTTAGTATTGCATGCACAGAGAAGCCTGGAAATGAGAAATTTAATGCACAGAGGCAAATTTCAACAATATGAGAAAGGAACTAGCAGGTAAATACTCCAGGCTCCCAATCAAAAAAGGGAAGATTCCAAGGTAAATTCTAAATAATTATCCAGACATTCCCCAGTTTAATAAAAACCCAGTTGCACATGATAACTATCCACTCATAAATGAATACTTGATCAGGTTTTCTCCCTTCTCTCTTTTCTTTTCCCATATCTACACCGTGCTTCCTGAGAGCCTTTCCAAATAAACCATCTGTACTCTAGTCCCTTGAATGCTTACTTTTGGGGTAACTCAAATTAAGTTTATGATAGAAGTTAACTCAAGGAGCACACCCTTAGAATGCAATTCTGGAAATGGATCAAGTGCCTGTTAGATGGCAACAAGGGACCTTTTGCTGGTGTTTGGTGTGGCTTAATGAGACTTTCCTCTCTTGGTGTATTGCATTGATGTTCAAGTAGAAAGGGACTCACTTACTTAGGCAACATCTAGAATATTAGAAAACATAAGAATCATGTTCATTTTGCAGATAATGAAATTGTATGCCTTTAACTAAAAATTCTAGAAAATGTAAAAAACAGAATACCTTCCTCATATCCGTCAACTGCGAACTCCACGTAGGCCGTGGTATTCAGAATGTACGCTTACTAGTACATAAAGTATTTATAACTTGAAATAAGCTGCCAAATTGTAAAAATTCTTGTTTTTCTCCTAATGTTCCTCTCCTGGATATCTTGTAAGATGCATAGTACCATAGGGTGGGCTATATTTTCTAAATGATTCAAATTGAATCAAACAAGTGAAAATCTTAGGGGCCAAGAGCTGGTGAAATGTTAGGAGAGTTCCCAAAGGAAAAGACTATTTCACTTTATACTTCCTACTACCAAAAAAAATTGTGCATTTATTTGTTGGATTCTTCATATTTTTGAGGACTATTTGTCCAACCCATTTAGCAAGTAACTTTTTTTTTTTTTACTTTGAATGTGGATAGTTTTTAGAGTGAGTCAGATGTTAAGAGGGCTCATTAACACACTATGGAGCAAAGCCATATCTTAATGCAGAAGAGAAATACCTCTCTACATAAAAAGCAACTTCTATTTATGATCTTGGAAGCTGTAGCAACTTGGAACTGGATCCTTGGTCATGAAACTGCCATGCCTCTATGCATGTCATGGATCACTTAGATTCATGATTTTCATAACCTGGTTGGACACAATAGAAACCCATCAAATGTTTTATCACAGTATATTTGGAGTTGTCCCTTAATAGACTCATAGCACATGATTCCAATACATGAAAAAGAGGAAGACACATGAAAAAAGTAGGTTAGTCCTTTATGTCACCTGACTCTGTTAATGCCTATTAGCTGAAGATTACTTATCCTTGAATGTGTTCTATAACCTGCCAACAGTAGAAAAAAACCCAACTGTCATCCTTGGATGTTCTACTCAATATTCTTATGTGAGCTAAAAAATTAGGCTACTGTTTTAATAAAGACTCCTCTGTCATAAGACTAGATTTCACATGGATAACTTTCCAGTGGAGCAAAGCTTCCAAGGGAGTCATCATCAACTTTGTGTAAAAGGAGAATTTGTCCGAGAATACCCATGTAAAATTGGGCAGAAGTGAAGGACTTAGCTGTTGGTCAGGGCATGCAAAGAATGATTAGAAGGTTGCTGACAAGATAATGTAGGGAAAAGATGATAGCTGGACCTTTAGGAGTTGCCCAAAGTATTTAGAAGCCCTCCACAGGCCTGCACTGCAGAAGAGGCACTCAACAACGAGGCTGACCGTGTGACTTATCAGAACTTATTCACCCCATTTTTTTGCACTATAGGTCTTTGAAAGGACATAATAACTTTGTAGACACAGTATACCAACCCAACTACATAGGCTTCCTAGCATGGACTTCTCTAGCTGCTACTATAACTTAAATCTACAGCTTTACTAATTTCTGTAGTAACTACAGAATTTATTTGTGTAAGAGTTTGATGCATTTTTTTGAAAAAATTATTTAAATTATAGAAGTTTCATATATTTCAAATATACAGATTTAGGAACATAGTGGGACTTCCCCCCCTACCATACTTCCCACCCATTTTCCAACCCTTTCTCCCCCTCCCTCTCACATTCCCATTCATAATTTTTATAAGGATCTATTATCAGTATACTTAGTGATCATATACTTAACCCTACTCTAAGTAAAGGAGTTCAGAAAATAGTATGAAGAGGAAGAAAACGAAACAAAACAAAACAAAAGATTGTTCCTCAATGGAAGAGATAAGGGCTATAAAGAATCATCTACTCTCAGAATGTCTATTTCATTCCAATACATTACATTTCAGGTATTCTATGAGTTATATGTGGTCAGGGAAATATATCTGTCTTTTTGGGACTGGCTTTTTTTCACTAAATATAATAGTTTCTTCTGATTTTCAGATTTAGCAGAAAAGAGGAAAACAGAAGAATGTTCTTGTGACTTAATACCCAACAGTCTTGTCTACTGGAAAAATTCCTTTTCCTTTTTTTTTTTTTTTGAAATATTTATTCATTTATTTGACATGCAGAGTGACACAAGCACACACACACACACACACACACACACAGAGAGAGAGAGAGAGAGAGAGAGAGAGAGAGAAACTTTCATCTGCTGGTTCACTCCACAAATGGCTGTAATGACTGGGGCTGGGTCAGACCAAAACTAGGAACCAGGAACTCCATCCACGTCTCTCAGGAAGATTTCAGGGACCCAAGCATTTGAGTCATCCTCTGCTGTTTTCCAAGCACACCGTCAGGAAGTTGGATTAGAAGCGGAGCAGCTGAGACATGAACTGGCAGTCCCTTATGTGATGCCAGTATCACAAGTGGTGGCTTAACCTACTGTTCCCAAATGACAGCCCTAACAATTCCTTCTCTATATGCAACCTTTTTGCCTCAGCTGAGCCTTCATATTGAGATTTGTACTCTGTATTGTTTAAGGCTTTATTTTAGTAAGCTCTGCCCATTTAAAGTAGGCACTCACCTTTGGGCAAAGATGAACAAACAAAATCAAATTCTTACATTGTTCATGCTCACAAAATCAAAAGCTGAAGTTGATAAAAGCAATTTGTGGGGCCGACGCCACGGCTCACTTGGCTAATCCTCCATCTGCGGTGCTGGTACACTCGGGTTCTAGTCCCGGTTGGGGCATCGGGTTCTGTCCCGGTTGCTCCTCTTCCAGTCCAGCTTTCTGCTGTGGCCTGGGAAGGCAGTGGAGGATGGCCCAAGTGCTTGGGCCCTGCACCCGCACAGGAGACCAGGAGAAGCACCTGGCTCCTGGCTTCGGATCGGCACAGCACGCCGGCCATGGTGGCCATTTTGGGGGTGAGCTAACGGAAAAGGAAAACCTTTCTCTGTCTCTCTCTCACTGTCTATAATTCTACCTGTCAAATAAATAAATAAATAAAGCAATTTGTGTAAAACAATTGTGGAATGTGATATGCTATGCTGAAAACAACTAAATCTAAAAAATTTATGAATGTACTTGCTAAAACCCATAGGTAAAAGTCATGCACCCTAGTTACATCGGTCAGCTTTCTCAGATGTTGATTTGTTTTGTTTTGCACATGCAAGTGCTTTTATATCATTAGCAAAGTTCTTGACTCAAATAATTAGATATAGAATTTTAGGAGACTAATCAGTTGTACTTTTTTTTAAAAGATGTATGAAAATGTGACTGTTAAGTTAGGTGTCCTGATTTAATTTTAGGAGATTTATCAATACTTCACTACTGACTTAGATAGACATCATAGGAGCAGGAGCTTTTGCAAGAATAAGAAAAGAGATCTTAGAGTACCTTTTCCATAAATGACCACTGCCATAGGAGGGCTCAGAAGTGGCTTATCTGCAAGATCATCGAGGTAAGCCTTTCTTCTCCCAGTGGCAATTGGCTGAAGGGTGAGGATTTGTCCAAAGTGCTATTCTGGAGAAGTACCTTCATGCAGTGATATGAAGGCTGGATGTCCATCCTAAGACAGACTATGATTTTTAACCAAAACAATTTATAAAGTGAGTATTGCACCTGCACTCTTTTTCCAGTGATCAGTCATCAACTAGAAGAAGAATTGTTTATTTAGGTTGTCATCTACTTAATCAAAGACTGAAGATATTGGGTAAGATGTGAAATGACTAGATGAGTAGCCTTTGCTTTATTTAATTCATTCATTTATTTTTTAAATATTTATTTATTTGAAAGGCAAGAGTTACAGAGAGACAGAAGTAGAAAGAGAGAGAGAGAGAGAGAGAGAGAGGTCTTTTATCTGCTGGTTCACTCTCCAGATGGATGTAATGCTTAGAGCTGCACAGATCCAAAGCCAGAAGCCAGGAGCTTCTTCCAGGTCTCCCATGTGGGTGAAAGGGCCCAAGGACTTGGGCTGTCTTCCATTGCTTTCCCAGGCCATAGCAGAGAACTGAATTGGAAGTGGAGCAGCTGGTTCTCAAACCTTTGCCCATATGAGATGCTGACACTGTAGGCAGTGGCTTTAACCTCTTAGCCACAGTGCTGGCCCCACCTTTGCTTTATTTTATAACCCATGCTTATAACTTCAACTGGCCTGTAAAATTAATGTGAAAGTATTAGAAATTAAATGATCTAGGGCTTCCACACATACATCATTCAATCCTTCTCTTCTTTATGTCTTAAATGAAAATAAAAATACATTTCTGTTGTCAGCTATCTATTTTGAGAACTCAATTAAATAACACATGTAAGATAACATTGTGACTTATAAAAGATTAGGGAGCAGACCTTTGAGATAGAGGTATAAATGCTGGTGAAGAACTTTGTGTCCTGTATTGGAATATTTGAGTTTGCTATCCAGTTCCAGCTGCTGAATCCAGGTTCCTGCCACTGTAGATCTCGAGAAGCAGCAGGTGATGGCTCCCTGGGTTTCTACAACCCATAAGGGAAACAGATTGAATTCCTGACTTCATTCCAGCCACTGTCAACATTTGGGAAGTGAACCAGAAGGTGGGAACTCTCTGTGTCTTTTCTGTCTCTCTGGCTCTA